CGACCTCCATACGTCATCCGACCGGAACTGCTTCCGTTTACAACAGTGAGCGCAAGCTAGATTAAATTGATTATTACGTTTTAAATATGGATATTTTTCTTACAAAAACGCATTGATTTGCTACAGGAGGACTTTGTTCACCCCCCGGAGCTGTGAGAGACACTTTTTATTAAGGATGGGCGCTTTTTATTTCTCTTCTTTTGGACTGATGCACTGCAACACCCGCTGAGTGCCATTAAACAGCTTGAAAGATCACTCCGTAACTCCGACTGGATTCGTCTGAAAGAAGAAAGTCATATACACCTAGGATGACTTGAGGGTGAGTAATTTATGGGCTAATTTTTATTTTTGGGTGAACTAACCCTTTAAGTTTTAAATTCTGTGAGCGCACGGCTCTCTGTGGAAGACAGGTGAAAGTGCATGCTGGAGTAGCGGGTGCAGATCAGAGGCGCGCAGTAAATGAAGATGAAACAAACCCACGAATTTATGATTTATGTTATCACTCTACGCTTAACCCTGGCTTAATATTATAATTTAAATCGCGTTTTGATTGATCTAATTTCTGTATTTTAATAAATGCTGTAGCCTATTAAACGAATTTCAAGGCTCTGTATAGGTCGTTCTCTATAAGTTATTTTTAGGTTATTTTAAAAATAACCACCCTGCAACGTTCTGGGAATGTTATTTTATGGTTGCAAAAAAATAACCTAAAAATAACCATTAGGGAACGTTCTCTATAAGTTATTTTTAGGTTATTTAAAAATAACCACCATGCAATGCTCTGGGAACGTTATTTTATGGTTACAAAAAATATAACAAGAACGTTCCCCTAACGTTAGTATTTGGTTCCCAAAAAATAACCAAACGGGAACCAAAAACTAACGTTAGGGGAACATTCTGTGTTTTCTGGGTCAGGGATTTACACAGGATTTACCCGTTACCAACGGCCGTGGACCATGATATGAACCTGAAAGTGTTGTGCCTGTCTCTCCTTCTTTCTGAAGCCTCCTGTTTCAGTGAGTATTTCTGATAAACTAGAATGAAATCTTAAAATAATCATTAAAGGGGTCATATGATGCTGTTTTAGGTAGGTGTGGCTGACTCTGAACTTTTATAAAGAATATCTCTTTGGGTTTGAGACTTTAGTCTTTACAACTTTACAGATCTTCTTTATGCACCAAGAGCTTGTAACACTCCAAAGAGAAAGGAAAAAATTAAATCGCATCATATGACCCCTTTAAGAAGCCTCTCAAAAAAATTCCAAATTATTCAGCCAATATTTACAGAGGTGTTATATTCATAGAGCTGAAACTATCGCTTATGTAAATGATTATGAAATTAATCTGATATTATCTATAATAAGACTCCATAACATAGGGCTAAACAAACATTACTTCTCAAAACAACATAATGAAGTGGTGAAGTGGCTCAGCATGCCCCACTTTAACTTTTTTTCAAAAGACATCCATACTTACAAGTGTATGCAGTAGGGTTGCTCCGATTGATCGGCTACCGATCACTATCGGCCAATAATCACATTGGGATGATTGATCGGCGGTCTCAAAAAACGATCTCAAGCTGATGAAGCTGCC